ACCACTGTTCATGACTTTTCTTCTCAATTTCTCACATTGGATGGTTGCACAGATGCTAATGAAGGATGGTAGCTCAGGATTCATGAGTATATGACTTCCCAAATCTTCATATTTTGAGCTCAAGCTAGACAGTAATTGAAATTTTTTATCTTCTTCAGTTCTTTTAAGAAGCATCGTGGGATCAGTTGTGTGAGGTCTGTAGACATCTAGTTCATTCCATATGCTTCTTAGATAACCAAGATGTTGAGCAAAAGTTTTACCTTCTTGTTGAATGTTGGAGATATCCTTCTTAAGTTGAAAGATGCGTGCAGAGTTGTTTTGATTACTATACATCTCCTTCACAGTTGTCCAGAGAGTGAGAGATGACTCGGAATAACTGTAGATTTCAACAATCTTCATTTCCATGGAATTAAGCAACCATGACATGACCAATTGATCTTTACAAAGACCCCCTCCATATTCTAGATAAGTAACTTCAGGAGCAGGATGACTGCCATCGATGAAACCAAGTTTGGATCTTCCACCAAGCGCAAGACTAACAGCTCTTGCCCACGACAAATAATTAAACTCATTCAGTAACACTGACCTGAGTCGTTGATTTGGATTGATATCCATTTCAGAGATGCAAGCAGAAGGAGAAGTAATGGTGCTTTCATCCTCTGAATTCTCATCAACCATATTTTTGCTGAAGGAAAATCACAACAACTGAGATATACAGAGACAGGTTCAGAAGGATGCCCGCTCTGATACCATGTTGACTTTTGAAGTTTCTGATTTTGTATTATGGAAATCATAATGAGAGCAAACACAGGTTACAAATATATAGGAGAGTTTGAGTAAGTTGCAAACTACACTCAACACTCAAGTTACCTATCCCAAATCTCCTTGAATCACGCTAAACAGCCGGCATAGGGAACATAACTAAGCTCCTTGGATTAAGGAGTTGACATCAAGAAAAGACCCTTATACAAATTGAGAAGAGCAGGAAGAAAATAAACGGCTATTAACTAGGTAAAACACTAATAGGGTTGACACAAACCCTATTACCCAGATAATACCGAGAAACCCTAATCATGAGGAACCCTAAGTAACCAGAGGTCTTTCAATAGATGGGAACAAGACTTGCAAGTTAGGACTTAATGAATTTGTTGATTTGAGCCATGAAGAATTTGTCCAACTACGTACTGGATACATAAATCCCGCTGAACCGGCCTCATCCGTAGATGTATATTAAGTATGAAAGCCTAAGTCGTTCCGATGTTCCCCGTAGCGTCGACTGGAGGATGCATGGAACCAAAGCATCAAGGACCCTGTGGTAACAGATCAACATTAAATGCTTTTATTTTAATATTTTTATTCATTCATAAACTAGCATATGGTTGATTTTTGGTCCATGTTTAATCGATATTTGATCATATCAAATATTGACGATGTATCAGGTACTATAGACTTACATTATTTTTTTCTTGAACGCATCAAGATTTATCAATTTTGTAGTATGTATAGAAATTAATGTTGTGTTATATACTGTAGGCTCTTGCTGGGCATTCTCTGTAGCGACAGATTTGGAAGGAATTGCCCAAATCAGAACAGGTCAGTTGATCTCATTGTCTGAACAGCAACATGGGTACTGTAGCAGATTTTATGGAAACAAGGGTTGCCGTAGTGGTTATATGGAGTCTGACTTTACACACATACTAGGATGCCGAGGAATCGCAAGCGAAGCAGAAAACCTGTACCAGGCTACTAAGGGAAGATGTGATACTAACAATCCCAAACCACAGTGTCATCGTTGGCTACATGAGAATTCTCAGGAGATGCTGGTCCTCTTGGAGGTCTTTGTGGCCTTGCCACAATGGCTTCCTACCCGATTATAGATTGATCTTAACGGCTTCACCGATACAAGCTATAATTAAGTGTGTAGATTTAATTTTCTTCTTAATATTGAAAAATGTTTGTCGATAAAAAGTGCTTGTATTTTGTATCTGATTGGAAAAACTAAAGCGGCATAATTTTTTTTAAAAGAATATAATTAAGTACATAGATTTAATTTTCTTCTCATATAGGTATGGAATTTCATATTGTTCTTGCCCTTGATGAAGTTGAAACTGGATATACGTTAGAGCACTTTTTTTCAATTTGTTTAGCTTTAAAATAATATAGAAGATCTGCTAACCTTCAAGACAATTTGTTTTGAAAAGGACACTTAATTACGTCTTGAAAACTATGACTGCATTGGCGTACAATTGTTAGTACTTCAACTTCAATAATCAACATCAGACTGGAATGGAATTTTTACGTTCAAATTTGGCGAGCTGCCGGCAATTCCTTATGAACACACGGTACGCAGTTAAGGACTGCAGACTGTGAACCTTGTAGTCATCAGTACCATTCATGGCGACTAAAAGCCAAAGGGCAGAAACTCCGGCAAATAGACAAGGACCTGTTGTCATCGATTGATTGAGTCATTCGAACTTCTTTGTGTTAAAAACTCCCCGGAGAAAACAAAACAAGAATCGCATTCAGGCCAGACTGATTGATAATAAGTTAACTGTGGTCATCAACTTGAGAAATATTCCTGGAAATTTGGCTTCAACAGTGAGAACGACCTGTTGAATGCTCTGTCTCCCTGACGAGCCAAGGAGCTGTCACACCAGTAAAAAACGAAGGTTTATGTGGTAATGTGATCTTACTTTTTGTTCCTTTCACTTAATGCATATATGGATCGCACAAATACCAAAATAATTTATAATCAATAAGCACATGAATATTATTTGTCAGCATCTACAGGAAGTTGCTGGGCATTTTACAGCAGTGGGAGCTGCTGAGGGGATTATACAAATCAAAACTGGTAAAATGATCTCAATGTTGGAGCAGCAACTAGTGGACTGTTCCAAAAAGGGCGTAAATCAAGCTTGCATAACTGGTAGCATGACCGATGCCTTTGTTTGCAAAATAGTCAAACGGTATTACCCGCGAAATAAATTACCAATACATAACAATGAATGAAACTTGTGACATGGAGATGACAAAGGACAGTGTTGCCTACATCACTGACTATGAACCTGTATACCATATAATAGCTAGGAGGAATTGCAGAAAGCGGTCTCTATGCAGCCGGTATCAGCTGCTATTGCAAGCGGAGGAATACAATTTAAACAGTACTCTGGTGGGGTATTCTCTGGAGATTGTGGATTTTATCTCGACCATGGTGTTACAGTCGTTGGTTAATGTTTTTATCCTTACCTAAACTAGCATACTGTCGATATTTGGTCCTTACTTATCGATCTTTGACCATATCAGATACTGACGATGTATCAAGTACTATAGAATTATATTATTTTTTCTTGAACGCATCACGATTTCTCAATTTTGTAGTATGTATTGAAAATAATGTTGTTATATACTGTAGACTCTTGCTGGGCATTCTCTCCAGTGGCAGCTTTGGAAGGAATTGTCCAAACCAAAACAGGTCAGTTGATCTCCCTATCCGAGCAGCAACTTGTGGACTGTAGCAGATTTTATGGAAACAAGGGCTTCCGTGGTGGTTATATGGAGTCTGCCTTTAAATACATACTAGAAAATCGTTGAATCGCAAGCGAAGAGATTACACGTACCAGGCTACTGAGGGAAGCTGTGACAATAACAACTTAAACTGGCATGCTGCCAGTGCCCGGATAACTGGTAGCAAATAGTGCCTTCGCAACAGCGGAAGCGATCTATTGAAGCCCATGTCTATGCAACCTGTCTCAATTGGCATTCATGTCACCTGGCCAGACTTCAGGTTTTACAAAAGCTGGGTCTTCACAGCGTAAAAGGTTGTGGGATAGTCCCAAACCACGGTGTCACCATCGTTGGCTACATGAGAATTCTCAGGAGATGCTGGTCCTCCTGGAGGTCTTTGTGGCCTTGCTACAATGGCTTCCTACCCAAGTATAGATTGGTCTTCTCGGCTACACCTATACAGGGTATAATTAAGCGTGCCGATCCAAAAGTGCTTGTACTTTGTATCTAATTGGCATAACTAAAGACGGATTTAAGTTCACTTTTTCGAATAGAGCATAATTATGTGCGTAGATCTAATTTTCTACTAATTTTGATGTCGAATTTTATCTCAAAATACCTCAATTCTCTGGATTTTAATTGAAATTTCATGTAGCTCTTGCACTTGATGAAGTTGAAACTTGAAATGCATTAGAGCACTTTTTATCAAGCAGTCGAGCATAAAATTAATTTAGAAGATCGGCAAACCTCAAGAGAACTAGTTTTAAAAAGGACACTTAATTACCCCAAGACCACTATGACTGCTAGTTGGAGGGCAACTGCATTGACTTACCATTGTTAACTTGGAATTTCAAATCCAAAGAACGAATTTTCATACCCCGCTTACTTACTTTTGACTAAATTCATAACCCCAGCTGCAACGGCGATTTGATGAATTATGCCTTTGAATATAAAAAGCGAAACAGAGGAGCAAGTAGCAATTCTAACATCGAAAACGAGCTTGCTTCCCAGATAACAGGTTATGGAACGTGCCTTCCACAGTGAAAACGACCTCTTGAAGGCTGTGTCTCCCTGACGAGCCTTTCAGTTTTATTAAGGGCTAGTTTGGTATTGTTGCGCTTTGAAAAAAAACTGCGGTGAGAATAAACGGTTGTGCTGTGAGAATAAGCTGCTGTGAAATAAATCAGCAGAGTGTTTGGTAAATTTTTTTGTAAAAGTGCTTTTCGAAAAAAAAGTAGTCTGATAGTGGGTCTTTTCATTAAAGGAGCACTGTAGCTCCGTGTGCTTTGAAAAAAAACCAGTTTTCCAAAGCTGCAAATAGCAGCTTCAGCTTTTTCCTTTGATTTCAGCTTATTCTCACAGCAGCTTCCAAAATAAGCCCTTTTTTTTTAGTTTACCAAACACCTAAAACCCTGACAGCTTTTTTTCATAGGTGCTTTTTTTTTAAACACCTCACTCCCAAACCACCCCTAAGATGGATAACCGACAATGAGTTCTTGAACAACACAGAAGGTATCATGAGAAATTAAGTATGAAATTCTGCCATTGTTCACAAGAATAGGCTGTTAGATATCATTACATTACATTACATACCACTGCACTTACCTAATAAACTGAATACGAAAAAGGCACAATCAGGCACGTTTTCCACTGCTGGGATTGCTCTTCGTGCAGAGGACCTTCCGCCCCTTAGCACGTCGGCGCTTCATCATTGCTCTCCCGCCGGTTGTTCTCATGCGCCTACGGAATCCATGAGTTCGAGCCAAGGATTTCCTGGACCTACTTCTCTTGGTTAGACACAGGGCAGCCTTCCCGGCCCTCACCACTAAGCCAGAGCCTCTTTCTTCTTCCAACCCCAACACTGGAGCTCAAATCCAAACCCAAAGATAAACCTTCAAATCAAAAAACCAAGTTCTAATCAATTCAAGGCCTGAATCAACATCCTTTAACGAGCCCTTCAGCTTAATTCTCAGAAACCAAATAAAGACGCCAACTTGTTTCATTACCATGGAAGTATCGGCATCCTGCGACCGACAAAGAACTCGCATTGCTCTAAACAACACATATCAAGTACCTAGCTAACAATTCAATCTCCTATTCACTACGCTGTAAACTGTAAAGCATCTTGTGATTGGCAATCGAAGTACTTACGTTGCTAAAACTAGGGAAATCGTAAGCAAGAAATTTACTTTCATGAAGCTAGGGTACTTAACCAAGCAAAATACTGAACAGAATTCAAGTAAACAGTGGAATGTGAATGTACAACCTATTAGCTTATCAAATTCAACCCAAATGAATCAACAAAAATAAAACCAACCAAAATTTAAGCCACAAAAAACCCTACATTTCAACTTAGAGACAAATTTCAATGAAAAAGCATAAATTCACCATCTTGGGAAAAAAAGAACAAACACACATTTCCCAAAATCACCCAAAAAAACAGTAATAATACTTCGACCATCCATTTTTTTATCCAGAGTAACAGTAAAACGATTGAAGGTAAATTACCTGAGAAGGCGGAAGTGGAAGCGATAGAGGAGGAGGAGATGAACGAGCAGTGAAGCAACCGGGAACGCGCGGCGGCGGCGCCACCGCTGAGAGACACGGAGCTCTTCCTAGTTGTGGAGCCGGTGAGGAATGTGAGAGAAGCACAGGGTGTGGAGGCTCGAGTGGAAAGGTACGGCGACCACGACATTGCTGAAACTGAAGCCATTATTCCTTTTGCCTTCTTCTGCAGTTGTTGTAGTTCTGCTTTCTTCTTTCTTTCTGTGTTTTGTTATCGCCAAAGAGGAAGAAGAAGAAGAAGATGAGGTTTCTGTGCCCCCGCCTTATCCAATCCACCGTCTGCAGATTTTGGTTTGGACCCTTCGAGTCAGACCGGATTATCCATACTTCAAATGCACTGGGCTGGACCGGCCCATTACACTTCTCTATCTGGCCTACCGAATTTAATAATCTACTTATTAGTCTATTTGGGTTCAAATAATCGAATGGGGATGTAGCTCAAATGGTAGAGCGCCCGCTTTGCATGCGGGAGGTACAGGGTTCGATCCCCTGCATCTCCATTTTTTTCTTTTTTTTCTTTTCTGCCTATTTGTATTTGTGCTAGCCTTTTTGGGCTTCAAAGTTTAAAGTTTTGGATAAATCACAAGTTTATGGGTTAGGCCTACAAAATGTATTAAAGCAGTTGTTAGGGGATTTTTTTTTATACAAATAATATTTTTACACCAATGAGTGAGAAATAAATTAGTATTAAATTCGTCAGTTATGAGATTCAAACCTAAAACTTCTTACGTAAAAGTGAAGGTGAATTCTGTTTGTGACATACAATGTTCTAATAAACATTGCTTTATGCCACGTCAAACCGGTGGGCACTTTTATGTTGCGTATTAGACTGGAGAAATATATATAAAAAAACTTGGGGAAACTAAACAATATATGAACCACAATTTATTCCCTATAAATTATTTAGTTGAAGGATGCAGTAAAGTTACAAGTTTGCAATAAATCAACTTACTAATTGCCAGACAGAAACAAGAGAAAGAGTGCAAAAAGAAAAAGTGGAATTGTAAAAATGAATCACATCACAAAATTTCCAAAAAGAGTGGGATATGACAAACAGAATCAGTAGGTACTAACCATTAAATTAACAAATGTGGATAAGGCAAACTACTAAATTAAGGATAGGAGACCTTTCTTGATTGAGGAAAACTTAGATGAGCTATATATTTACCTAATCACTAGATTAGAGTGCATAATGCGATATTTGATACTCAATTATTTGCTTTAGTTTAAGAGACTCAGAGAGAGAGGTCAATGTCAAAATTCCATATATTATGATACAAAAATGGTGGGTGTGGTTTTGCAACATGGGCATCCACCATTCCTTCCAACTGAGACATAAACCCTCTAGCTGCCACAGAGGTCTCCCAATGTCTTCCACTACTTGAAGTGGAAGCCAAGCAAATGCAGGCTCCAAGTTCCGCATGTGGGACGGGCAAAACAAAGTTATATGAAAAGGAAATCAAGTGGGACTCCATTTGTTCGTTTGCCTAACTTGTTGCCAACCCTAAACCACCTTCTACGTTGGCCACAGTTTGATCCTCTCTGTACTAGTTCATTGGTTCTCACCCACTATATACCACCTTCTATGTCGGGCCATGAAAGTAAGTGTGACCGTAACATCGTCATACAATGTTCTATCTAATCACTTATATTATAATACAATGTATATGTGATGGTTTGAAAAATGGTTGGTTTTATTCAAACAAAAAAGAATGGTTGGTTTTATGTATGTGTCTTCGTATATCTTTGGATAATGAAACTATGCAAAATAGCATATAGTAGGGTGGGTTTGGTTCATTCGGTTTGATTTTTTTATCAAAACCGAAATTACTGTTTGGTTTAGTTTTCTTTGATTTTTCTCAGTTCAGTCCAATTTCGGTTCAATTTTTTCGATTCAGTTATCTTGGATCAACTTGTCTAATTAATGATTCTTATCCACAATTAACGCACAAAAAGAATGTGTTAAATTGTTAATCAATGTAAAATGGGAGTTTGCAAGCAATACCTTGGTCATGAAAGACTGCTGGTAGTAGGGGTCTCCTAGCACAAGTTGTGCAAGCCAACTATACAAATCCATGATCTCTCTCGCTCTCTCACTCAATTCTACAACATCCGTTCAAAAGGGTGTCTTGCACTCTTCTAATTGAGAAATGTTATTTACATTATCTCAAAAGCAAATTCAATCAAGTGAGACTTCCTAGTATCTGTAACGTTTCTTTTTTATTGTTTTAAAACAGACTCAAACTACAACATAAATTTTTTTAAGGTAATGATTTTCACACTTCCAATTTCCCCTTATGCATTTCTCTCCTTATTTGCGTCCGTTCTTTTCTATTTGATTCATTCAATTTTTAAAAAATAAACAATAAGAAGAGTGTGATACGAGAATAGAGAGTGCGAAGATGACTTCTAGAATTTTCAAGTGAAATTCAGGTGTCTACAACTGTTACTTGAGCTTTCTTATAAGAGAGTATGATAACATTAATCTTCTTTTTAAGTGGTATCTACGAAGTATGGATACAAATATGAATACGACACGACACGACACGACACGGCACGACAATATGAAAAAACTCTAAAAATTAAGATACGATACATCATAGATACGGCAAATAAAAATATATATAGCAATTAAATATACTATTTGAAACAATGATTCATCATTCAAATTATAATTCTAAATTCATTTGAGTTGTTAGAGAAAGCAAAGTTGAAAATCTAATCCTCTTTATATTCAATAGAAGAAGTGTGAGAGTCACATTTATGGTTTTAATTAGAGAGAAGCTCTTTGTAGTCATCAATTTTCAATTATACTTGTCTCCTATTCATTTTCAATTCCTCATTATCTTATTTTGAAAGTGAATGTATCCTTAAAGATGGATACGTGTATCCTAAACGTGGGACACAAGTATCCATCAAGACAAAGTCGTGTCCACTGACTATGATACGTATCCGAAGAGTACCTGAAAGTATTAGGAAAGTATCGTATCCGATCATACTTTCCTAATACTTTCAGGTACTCTTCGGATACGTATCATAGTCAGTGGACACGACTTTGTCTTGATGGATAGGTATTGCATCATAAGTGGCATGTAATTATGCAAAGATTGCTACTTGCCAAGTCGGTTGAGGGGTTAACCATTTTGAGATGAACATTTGAAATTTCTTGGTTTAAATTCTTAAGACACAGAACAAATCAAAGATGAGAGACACAAAGCCCCCACCTATACCCGTTTTCATCATTAAATATGGTGATTGGAGACATGTTTTTGTTGAGTGAGATTGAAGGTACTAGTCCAGCAATGACCATGAAGGTTCTGAAAATCCATTTTCTAATCATACCAAGACCTTTTCTTGCATTTCATCTTCAACTTTCTCAAGCTAGGAACCCACCACAGAGAGCTCTTTCAACTTCCAATGGCAACCAATTCTAATCCACTAATCGTGTGAGAGTGCCATTTCTTTTCTCCCATTTGTTATTGGTTAGTGCTGCTATTCATCACCTACTCAGGATAACGTTAATGATTGTTGGAAGGACCAAGACATCACCATGACCAAGTCTATCATCATCACATCATTTCAAAATGAAGATTCCAATAAACTTGAAACACGACAAGATTGTCATCCATAACAAAAAGAAATCTCTCGAGTCACAGAATAAGACGCAAAATGATATAAAATCGGAAAAACGAAATAGATAGACACGAAAAAATTCCCTCTGAATAAAGAATTTAGAGGTTGATTATTTAAGTAATGAGATTCCATGGATGAAGAATTTAGTTTTGAAGCACTCTTATTAATGGAGGATTTTAGAGAGAGCTTTTGCAAGCACCTTCCAAGAGATTCCACAATGGACTATTTACCTACTGCATGTCATGGCATGAGAAATTGAGTTGTGGGGTCATGGGACCAACCTAAGGTGGGCCCAAGCTTGGGAAATGGGGCTAAAACACCTTTTTTAGAACAGAATGTTTTGAAATCTGGGCCACAAACGCAGAACCAAAGTGTTGTGGTGGGCCTGGCTACCAAGAGCTACCTGATATTTTTCTTAACTTTTGGTGAAAAGTCCAAAACAGTTAAATCAAACCCAGTAGTGAAATGGATTACCTAATGCTAAGGGCAATATGACTAGACCAGCAAGTGGAGCCCACCCTTTTGTTTCACTCCCTTTGGTTGTTTCAATTTTCCAATATTCCTCTTGTGCTTAAATTCATCGAAGAATTTAAGGTTCTCCAGCAAAGAGTTATCGACCTTTGAATTTTGTAATTTATACAAAATTCTCTAACCTAGGGACTAGAAAAAATTTATTTCTGATGCTGTAGAATTTGGATTTATCTAAGCTTAAGATTGTAACCTTTGTGGTTCATATTTTAGTGAGATAATAGTGTCGAGTGCTTATATAACATATTCTTTCATGCAAAAAGAAAAACCCAATCTAAAATATCAAGTAAAGAAGTTGGCTCCTTTTAGATTTGGTTTTTCTTTTTGCATTAACAAATTCTTAGAAAGAGAGGGAGTAAGCTTATATAAAAAATGTAAAAAAAATAAATTTTATGAATAAATAGAGTCAACGATACGACAGACATCGTTGTCTACACGCGAGTTAGCTTTTGTGGTCGAGCAGTATCAATTTCACTACGAGATTTGTGAACGATTGCTGGGCTAGGCCCCCTCGAATAGTGAGAGCCACATGCGGGAAGATTTGCATGTACGGTTTTTAGGGGGATATCTAGTCGAAAGACTGACAGTGCCCACCCAACTAGAAGGACTGAGAAATTAATAGAAAAAATACGTTGTATAAGCAAACACACTATTATCTCAAGCTTAGATAAATCCATATCAAGCTGCATTAGAAATAAATTTATTTTAACTTGCCATAAATTTGTTTTATTTCAATTAAATGGGATTCTGTTTGCTACCAACGACCCAACATAACCTATTTCAACAATCTTTCAATTGTGCCCTTACTTATATTTGATAAAAAAATAAAATTAATTAATATAAAAAATATTTCCACATTTCTCTCCCTCAACATGTTATTTGTCAGGTATCCTCAATTATTTCATCATGCCGTTTATGCTATTGTATGGTTAATTTGATTAATCCCCTTATTTCCTCCCATAATTGAAATTTATATCATTTGATTTTACCCTCATAAATAAACACCCTATTACTTCTAATCAATTCCACATTCTAAAATTTAACTTTTGATCAAATTCTCTTCCTGCTGGCGATAATCATTATTTTGGCCTCCTTGTTTTAGCATGTCGACAGCTGCTTTTAAGATCTTGGCAATATGATCTTTGACATGATATCGGGAAAAAAAATTGTGGCGAATACTTAGCAAACTATAATCTTAATTTAGATTTAAGTAATTTTTACTTTAATAAACAAGAATTAATAAGAATGTTCAAAAGGGGTAAATAGATATGTGTAAATCATTTCTCTTGTATAATTGAGAGTATAAGAAAGAATACTCTTAAGAGCAAAAAGTTATAGAATGTAATCGAAAATATACTAATTAATATAATATTAATCACGTAATGAGAGACGTAGGGGGTGTATTCAATTGGGAATTCGAGAGATTTTAATAGATTTATAAATCCATTGATTTTTATGAAATTTAATTGATTTGGAGAGATTCCATGTAAAATTTTGATTCAATTCTCTTGAAATCTCATGATAAGATGTAAGATTTGTGGATGTTTAAAATACACTACAAAATCTCTCCATTTCCTCAACTTTTTGAAATTCTTTAAAATCAAATTCTAACTGAATACATCTGAAATGTTATAAACTTCTTTAAAATTCTAATTGAATACATCAAAATTTATAAGGATTTTAATAAACTATCTTAAAATCTTGATTGAATACACATTAAATTTCAGATAAATCACTTAAAATTCTGATTGAATATCTCTATATTCATTAAAATAATTAAAATCTTTTAAAATCTCAATTAAATACACTCCCGTAGCCATTTGAAACTATACAGTTCAATGTACGAGGATCTCCTTAACACGCACGCAAATTGACAAAAATATATTACATATTTAATAGAGCTACAATGATTTTTAACCATGTGATGGTCAATTTTGCAATGTTCAGAGTACGCACAGCACACAGTGACATTACACGGGTTTTCATGCCCGTGAGTCCGTGACCATGCAGACCAATCACCGATCGGATGTTCAAGATACTTTTCTTATTCCAACGATTCCCCTATTAAAATACTCTACCCATTCCACCCTCCAAACCCACTATTTTCGAATCCTTCCAAACTTTTTCCCAACTCATCTCAGAAATAAAAATAAATAACATAAAAAAATTAAGAATTGTTATTGGCATTTTAAAAATCTTATTCTACATTCCAAACTTTTTATATTTTGAAACAAAAATACACTTTTGAGGAGTGTATAATGAGATTTTTGGATTTTAGTAGGTTTGGCAATAGACTCGTATTTGTCGTGTCCTATTTTAATGATGTCGTATCAAATTCGTTATCTTAACATGTTATTATCAGGTGATTCGATAACGACTTGATCTTTAATAGTCATGTCTGGTTGATGAGTCATGCAAAAAATTATAATGCTTAATATCTAAATCTACAAACGATATCTTAACAGAGTTTTAAATGGGTGATTTGATAACGACCTCACTCGTTAACAGATTGTTAACGTATGACCTAATAACGACTCGAGTCATTTAATGAGATTGACTCAAAATCTGTTAGTTTTGTAAATCTCATGTCGGGTCATTGGGTCGTGCAAAAATTACCAACCTACACTCTAGTGATATATTTTTCTATTTATGGTCTCAAAGTTAACTTACATAGATAGATGGTATTGATGTATAATATTTGCAATATTGTACAATAACTTAAAATATTAGTAATTGAGTTTGATATATGATTATAAGTTATAACCGACACATTGTGTGAATCTGCTATGCCAGTCAAGTAAAATACTTTTGCATAAAAGAATATCAATCAACTTCAATATTTGACATCCTCTGGCTCTAACTCTAGCCATGTGAACAGCCGAAGCCAAACCCCTCCTTCCTAAAGTCTGAAATTTTACTATAAAACCCCACATCCCACATTTCATTCTCTCTCAAAATCCCAAATGGGTTTCAAGCTCCAAGCTCTGCTGTGCCTTGTAGCTCTTCAAGTTCTGGTCTTCTTCTCAGAGGAAGCAGAAGCAGCAGAACACAGCCATGGCATCAGCTTGAGAGTCCACAGGAAGCAAGTGAGCGGCTGCAATTTGTTCCAAGGCAATTGGGTTTTTGATGCTTCTTACCCGCTCTATGATTCCGCCAGCTGTCCCTTCATAGATCCTGAGTTTGATTGCATCAAGTATGGCAGACCTGACAAGCAGTTCCTCAAGTATGCCTGGAAGCCTGACTCCTGTAACTTGCCCAGGTACACATTGATGCTACGTTTGGTGGGTATCAGAAATTCTCTATGCATGACGACCTTTTGATATCATTTTCGTAAAATTATCGCTCTAATACAACCGGAATCTGTTATTAACGCTTCAATACCACCACCAAATCACGGATGGTTATTTTAGCCCTCCTAACCAATACCCAAGCCTTGCTTAAACAATAATATTAGTTGTGTAATTATTATTATTGTTGAAACAGGTTTGATGGGGTGGATTTTCTGAGGAGGTGGAGGGGAAAAAAGATAATGTTCGTGGGCGACTCACTGAGTCTAAACATGTGGGAATCATTGTCTTGTATGATACATGCGTCGGTGCCAAATGCCAAGACCACCTTCAAAAAAGCCTATTCTGTGAGCTTTGAGGTGAGAGATTTTTCACACTTTTCTCTCTCTCTCTCTCTCTCTCTCTCTGTGCATGTTTGTCTCTTTGTAATTATTTGTCTTCCCTTATTATTATTATATTTTTCTCTTGGACCCTTTGTCTCTTTTTCCAATATGTTGTGCTCTTTTTTACGATTTTATAATATTTTTGGAAGGTTAGTTTTCCGTACCCTGCTGTTCTCCACTGTTGTATTCATTATTTTTCCGTCATATATATATATATATATATATATCTGTTTAATTGTATAGCACTCAGGATGAAACTTGGACATTTGTAAGCCAATTACGTACTACCGTGTTAAAAATTTAAAACTTTAATTGATTGATTTGAATTATTGTAATTTTTTAAAATTTTGACGGTTCATGATTGATTTAAATTACTTTTACAGTGACGATTTGTCGTAAGTTTTGTTGGTTTAGTGTGTGCAAGGAGTGAAAAGACATGGGTTAGTAGATGTTGTTCTTGTTGTAACAAACTATAGGTGATACCAATAAAAGATTGTTGTGGGGTTGGGTGGGGAAGACAAAGAAAAGTTAAAAGACAGACTTTGTCCTCCTTTGTTTCCCCCCCTTCATTGTCCTCTAAGTTATAAAATTTATATTTTTCCCCTTTGGTTTATGACTAGGTAAAGAAAAAGAAAGGGAAACGGTTTTCGTACAGACAATTTCTCTTCACATACTCCTTCCGTTTTTTTCTCCAACATTTAAATTAAGCAACTCAAAAGAGAATCAAAGGAAAGAGTGGAAAGGGAAAAACGAAAGTTTGAAAATCACTATCTAAAGAGAAAAAGCAAATAGAAAACCATAGAAGTGAACTAGAAAATGCAATCAGATGAAATTCCGGACACATTTTGTTTGAGTTGGATAACTCGCTAGACATTGGACATAATTTCATACCCTCGAATTAACTAGGCAAAGAACTGAAAGTCAGAAAGAGGAGGGATCTCCCTCCCACCACAAAAAAAATTATATGAGGACTTCAATTTTCATCATGTTCTTGTATTTTTTTTGTTCATGTTCTTCTACATTATTGTTTAATTTCCACGTAGATCTTTAAAAGCCATGAAGGTTTACAGGCTGTGATGAACAACCAGCCAACCTGTGATGGACCGCTTTGTTCAATAATCTTTCTGCAATGGGGTTTCAAAAATTTAATTTATAATTTGTCCTTGTTGAAATAATATGATCGTGAAAACTATTTAAATTTAATTAAAGCATGCATGTGGGTAGCTTCTTGTAGTATTATAACCACCTTTATGATTTAATTAATTTAATTAATGGTTTAATTATTACAAAGTCCCAGGCATACAAATTTTAATTTTAATCCCAATTATAATTGTGTTATTATGTGCAGGACTATGGAGTGACTTTGTTTATGTTCCGGACACCATACCTTGTAGATATAGTCAGAGAAAAGGTTGGCCGTGTGCTAAACCTAAACTCCATCAACGCCGGAAATGCATGGAAAGGGATGGACGTCCTGATCTTCAACTCTTGGCATTGGTGGACCCACACCGGCAAGTCTCAGCCGTACGTTTCAACCCATTACCTTTTTTTCAGTCGCCAATGCGAGTGACTATTGATCGTTGATGAACCTAAGTGACTATTAAGTTGTTTATGCATGGTGGGAATTGATGAGTGAATTATGAGTGAATTATGAGTGGCTGCTAGTCATTCATGAATTTTAAGTGATTATTAGTCATTGGTTTCCCACAGTTCAATAACACCTCACTACACTTGAGCAAGTGGGCAATATAGGGATGACTATGAGTCGTACAATGCATTAACGGCTCACAATATCTGCTGAAATTAATGAGCTATGGATTGTGGATGGATGTGAGCCACTTATGCACTATAAGTCCCAAAATGAAAGTGAATGATCAAGGATGCACCAATGGCTCATAGCCCATTGCGGATGGGCGACTAAGATTAACATAACTTTTGTTTTTACCATATGTTGTATTTGATCTGATGTTTTATGTCTTGGATGGCTTGTGTTGTGCAGATTTGATTATTTTCGTGATGGGACAAAACTGTACAAAGACATGGATCGTTTGACAGCATATTATAAGGGGCTTTCCACATGGGCTAGATGGGTTGACTCAAATGTTGATACTTCAAGAACCAAAGTCTTCTTCCAGGGCATTTCTCCAACACATTATCAGTAAGTAAAAACTCACACTAGCAGATATAATTAACAGTGATTATGTAACTTTAATCATAATTAACAACGTTGTTATTGTATTGAATTACCAGGGGAAAAGAATGGAATTCGCCAAAGAAGACTTGCTCAGGAGAACTTGGACCGTTGTCGGGATCAACCTACCCAGCAGGGGCACCTCCATCTGCTGCTGTTGTGTATAAGGTGCTAAGCACGATTAAGAACCCGGTTTACTTGCTCGACATTACAACGCTCTCGCAGTTGAGAAAGGATGCTCATCCCTCAACTTATAGTGGCGATCATTCGGGCAATGACTGCAGCCACTGGTGCCTGCCCGGGTTGCCTGATACCTGGAACCAACTCCTATATGCAGCTCTCATCATGTGAATTGTGAAGGTCAACACTGATCAACAGTTAGCAACCATTTTTAGTTTGGGAAATGATTCGCGCGCTCACATTTTCTCCTTCCGCAATCATCTCTTTGTTGTTGCCCATTTATTCTCCTTGAATTTAATTAATCCAACAGCTAGAAATAAGAGGACTGAAGAGGGAGAAAAGGACAGCGCGGAAATCATTTTCCTCTAGTTTTCCTTTCTTTCATATTCACATCGATTGGTAAACGACAATAAGGTGGCAAAATCAGTTGTAACTATTGTTTTACTGAACTAGAAGAATGGTTTCGAGTTCGTAGATAGACAAAGAACAGATTGAAATCCAAATGAGGGTGTAAGTGTGCTTACAGAAAGCAAAAAATATTCAAGTCTTAGAGTTATTGACTAGTTTGAACTTTCTTGTTCATTTGCTCTGTGATCTAATTGAAGAAATGTACATGTGGAAATTTCCAGCATTGTGATCAATATAATTTCCTTTAAGCTCTTGAATGTATGAAGATACTATACTGGTACAAGAGCAACAGAAACACAGTATTTCGATCTGCAATCAAGCCGAAAGCGAAAGCTAAAGCGATTTCAAGAAACTTCAGTGTGTTCCAAATGGAGATCAGAGATAAAAAAAAAAAACCAGATGACAAGCAAATATGAACACAAATTTAGGATTTTGTTAGAAGCAATCGTCGGTAGCATCATATATCTTCAATTCCAAATATAAATAAGCATGAAATACCAAGCATTCGGGGATTCGCCAAATAATCATCAGCCACAAAAATGACAGGAAGACAGCCCTTGGTACAGAAAAATCAAAGATATGTAGATGGATCCTGCTCTTCCTCTCATGGATGAAGACACTGATGCACCAGCAATGATCCTCCTCGAAGGGTTCGGTGTCAGTACAAGATAAAAAAGGACCAAACCTTAAAGCCACTATGGTGGGGAATTGGAGGAAAGAGGAATATTCATCAGTCTTTATCCCAAGCTCGAGCAGCTGTATTTTTCTTTTTAAATATAGAAAATTTAGAGTGTGCTATAAGTTTTTTATTTTGATAAACCATAGCGTTAGTGAATTAAATTGTTAATTGTTAAGAGGGAGGGGGATCAATGGGGATGGATATCGCATCAGCGTGCATAAGCATCATTGCTTTCCGCCAGTGCGATAAAGCGTAATTGCGTGCACAATAAGTTTTTTGCAGTGTCCATAACATCACAATTATATTTTTGTTTTTCTATAATAAAGACTGGTTATCCAACAATGAAAAGGTGGAAGGAACATGAGCACATTTTTTTTTTTCATTTTTATACCTAGGATTCACACACCCCAAATTACTTTTGCTACGTCCTTTTAATTTTTTAATATTTTTCTATCAAGTGTTAGTGGTGTGTAGAAAATATTAAAAAATTAAAAGAATGTGGAAGAAGTAATTTGAGATGTGTGAATATAATCTCTCTCAACATTAAATTTATCTTTGGGAGGTTTTCAGGGTTCGAACTTCGGTATAGAGAAATACACTACTTTGGTCAACTTATCTAAACCAAAAGTTGCATTGTTCACCAAATTGTAACTACACATGTACAAACGGGTCGTATCATATTCAATCCAACACGAGTAAAATCCGTTTAAAATCGGTCCAACACAACACACACATGTAGGTCAAGCCGAGTTAAGTTTCATTTGGATTGAAACTTCCCAAATCGAACTGAACCGAATTGCATCTTAATCATTAATATACTGCTAAGTATTGAAATGAAAAGAATAAAGTTGATGTTATGATTGAATGAGAGGATGACGAAGTTGTAGCATTACTACATTGTATTACGAGCTATTATACATGTTAGTGAACTTAGGTATTGTTTGGTACGTAGACGAGACAGAATGGCACATAACGGAATGGGATGGAACATATTAAACCGATACCCAATCTAGCCGAGTAGGTGATGAGCAATAATACCATATATAAGTTCTACCTTTACAACAGAAAACTCTCAGAGCAATTTCTGTAGCTGAGCTTGCTACAGATTTAGCACGGCGTAGATCGGCATACGATTTTCTGCTGCTGTTGGTTCTGGCATTGTACATGGCACGATCTCACTTTATCTCTCAACACCTGGAACGCTCTCATTGTTTCTGCATCGAATCCTCCAGCGAACTGCAGCGAAAAATCACAACCACATCGTAAGAACGCGAAACATAGGACACAGTAAAATGATCGATGCTGTTGAAGCGAGTGTTTTTTTAGTCACCTGATGTACGCGGAAGGCAAATCGAACGCCTTGAACTATCAGCTCTTCTTCTTCGGGAACACCACCTACAATTTCAAGCTCAGCAGAGACTCTCTTCATGTACTTCATTGCCAATTTTACCGATGCCAACTTGATCTGTGAACATGTACCAACATTGTCACTACAATAACAAGCTAACCAACATTTGCTGGTGTACTATAAATCACATTCATATTTCGGGTTCCTATATCTGCTTCGGGAAACATTCAATTTTTCTGCCTAACATTAACATTTAAGTGGCGTATTCTGCAGGGAAAATGATTTTCGCACCACTCAATCAATTCTTCCGGGCCTCTCTACAGGATTGGAAGAAGGAGCTTGTTCTCTTTCTACGCACCTCTCTCTATTTTTGGCTCTTTAAGTTGAATAAATAAAAAAATCATATGACAGAAATTACCACGAAATACACAGAAAAAGACAAAAAGTGTGGAAATCAATTTTCCTTCAAGACGTAGAAAATCCAATCCAATTCCATTCAACGGTGAGGATTCAATCACATTGAGGGGCAGTCTCGAGACAAAAACATAATATAATGTACAAATCAGAGAGCCTAATTAATTAATTTGCTTGTTTACTCCTATAAAGTCAAAAGAGGAGAATCTTATTACTTGCTTGCTTCTTTCCTCCTACCAACCATTCCGAAATAAAAAGTGAAGAAGACAAACATATTATGGGAGTTCACATGTGCCCATGCAGGCAGGCGTGGGACTAGAAAATGTGGAAAAATATAGGTCATACTTTAATGTCTTTCATCTTGTGAAGAAATTTTTCAGTGTGACTAGAACACGACTTAGTACATCAAGTGTAATAAAACAATTGGTTGAGATTTTTTTTTTTTTTAAGTTTCTAATCATTTGTATTATTATACATAGTACACCAGACTGTGTTATCGACACATTGAAAAATTTCTAAATCATGTGACCCCTAAGCCCTAAGTCCTAAGCTTAGATTGCATTGTAGACCGTGTCAAAAGATTTCTCAATTAGTCAATTATCGCCAAGTTCTACAAGTATGTGAGTCATTAAAGAGCACCACCAAAAAACTCCACAGCCAATAGTAAAATATGACCTAGTGGGTGATTGAGTGTAGATGAGACTAGAGAGAAACTTGCACGAAGTCAGATGTTACTATTGTGACGTATCTCAAGTCAATCATGCATTGTTATGTATTTTAATTTTCTCTGTAATTAGCTCCCTCGTTGCATGTAAGTTCTCATAAAATTGGCATACATTGCAAGCATGAGGGATTGGAACAATGAATTACCTGGCTTACAAATTCAGAATCGAGCATCCAATTTGTAGGAATTTGGAAAACTTTGTATCTTTTAGTGGCAGAATCTCTCATCCGCGAGAGATTGTAAACACCATGCTCCAATCTGTTCAAATTACACCAACCATATAAGAACTCCACGCTAAAAAGGGCTACAATTTGGAAGGACAAGACCAAGAAATGAAGAAATCTACTCACTTTTCCAGCAAAGCCTGCATCTTTTTGAGGGTAGGACCGCAGGGCTGGCGAGAATGATCAGGGAACGACGAGGCCTCGGATTCAAGCTTCTTGAGGTCACAATACCCAAATGCCGCTTCGCGCAGGGCATCGGCTTTCTGCTCCGGCCACTCAAAATGCTTCAGCACAGCTCTTTCATCCACCTAAACAAACAAAATCAATGTCAAGACCCCAGCTCGAAAGTTTATTTTTATTTTTAACGAAACAATATTCTTAACTACTCTAATCCACGTCCGCAACCCCGATTTTTGATTAAGAGGAACTATTAACAGATTTTTTAAATGGAAAAAATGAAATGTTACCAAGTATGAGAGCTCATCATCCAGCCATTTCACAAAAGGCACCACATCGTTGATGTCAGAAAACGCTGCGTTTTCAACTTCCTTTATCAAAAACCTAATGAAATCTCCCTGCATTTCTACGTCCGTTTTTATCTGCAAATACATAAATCACAACAATTTCACAGGAGATGAAGATTTGCCCCTAAACTTTACAAAAATTACACCTTTTTGGCATCCAAACAAAAGCAGTTGGAATCTGCGAACTGTCTTTTCTGTCAAGCAAACAATAAAATCCAACGGAAAAGGCGTAGAGCTAGATAATAAGACAAATACGAGGGCCACCTGCCACTGACACAACCAAAACGCCAGTGGCAAAATCGTAATTTAGATTAAAAAACCAGTAACCGGGACTTACAGAGAGCAAGTGAGCCGACCGGTTCTCGATCTCGCCGATCATGTCGCGGGCATTGGCGGTTCCCGTTGCGTCGGAGACTCCGCTGCCCGACTCCTTCCGAGAGTCTCTTCGCATCAGAGAGTGGTAAAATTCGACAACCTCCGGCACTCGCTTCACCTTCGCCGTCGCCGGCCTTATGCCTCTCGGTGGTGGAGGAGGTGGAGGTGGAGCCGCCTTAGAAGGCGGAGGTGGCGGTGAGAGTGCGGGTTTTGTCTGACTTGGTGGCGGCGGAGGCGGTGGTGGAAATGCAATACCTTGTTCTGTTGAGGCCTTGTTTTGAGTCTTTTGACCGTTGGATGTCGACGGTCTCGGCGGCGGTTTAGGAACCCTCGGGATGCGAGATCTGATGGTAGCCAGAGTCGACTCGACGAACTCCTCCGAGTTACATCGCGAGAGCCTCGGCCTCTCCGATTCCGGCTCTTCCCTCTTCGACTCGGAGCCGTCGAGCTTCTGATTCTCCGGATTCGTCGGAATGTCCGCGTATTTCACTCCCCTCTTCAAATTTCTGATCAGATTCGACCTTCCGGCGATCTCCATCAGTCCCTGAAATCTCTGTGACGACGAAAGCTCGTCGCTTTCGGAATTAATCATACGATCCGACGTCGTTTTCTTCAGCTCCGAAATTTCAGCCTCCAATCGCTTCAATTTCTCTTCTTTCCCCCTCCTCTCTTCCTCCAACGCTGACGTTACTTCCGCCACCCGATTCCTCAGCCGCTCGTTCTCCGCCGCCAGCACCTCCACCCGCTTCGACGCTCTATCAATCTCTTCATTCTTGCTAATAATCTCGTTCTCCAAGACGGGGATGATGGCGACCGACTCTCTCAGGAGCTTGTGCTCCAGAAGCTCCGTCTTCAGCCTCGACTCTCGCTCCCGGAGCTCCTCCACCAGTCGGAGCAGCTCCGTCACGTCCGGCGGCTTAGGCTGCACCTGCGCGGAGGAGCGTGGGAAGTATACACCAAAGGAG